GTACTGCCATGTTTTTCCTCCTCAGCCTATACACCCACTTCCTCTCTGAGCACCTGCATAGTAGTGCTCTTCAGAAAGTCTGGAGGCTGGCATTCTTCAGAGTTGGCCTAAAGTATTGCCGAAAAACTGTATTTGGGAAGGTAGGTGCATCCTAGCTAGGAAAAGGGACACTGATGGCAACTTGGCTCTGTTTGCAGGACCTTCACCTGCTATTCCTAAGTCACTAGAGCTCTGAGGGGGCAAACTAGGGCTCTTGCTCTTGAAGACTCTAGTGGTAATATTAACTGTAAAGAAAGCATCAGCAAATGAGGAAAGATAGTGACTATGTTAATCATCAATGTGAAATCATTATTTAAATACTATAAAATCTGCTAATCTTACCATTTTTAATATTCTTTCCTTTTAATAGTGTAATAGTTCCCATGAACTCCATTTTGATTAGAGGATTTAAATATTTTTAAGACTTTGCCGTATTACATTGTGATTGTTTTAGAACAGGAATTATAGCATTCTCTTCAACCCTTATCCCTTCCACATGTGTGTAACTTTGAAACTGCATTCCCTTGGCACACAGAAAGTTTCCTATGTTGTTTCTTTCATTCAGTTCCTTGAATTATTTATTGTTCCACTTCCTTACCACTTCATTCATTTCTTTAAAAACACTAATTTTCCCATATTTTTTTCCTGGTGTTAATTCATTGTAGGAACTAGATTGATGTGGAAGATAGCAAATAAATACCAGCATATACTCTAAATTGGCTAGAGTTTAGGGGGTAGGGGAGGAGACCTTAAAGCTGAGGTGAGCACATGGAATGTGATGTTGTCAGTGTACTGGTTGTCATACAGTTGCCACCCTCCTCCCCAGTTTCATTGTTATGTCTTTGTTTGCTTTTAATTATGACCCAAACAAGTCAGCACCTGCTTTCCATACTAATACTTTTGTATCACTGTACTCATGCCGTGATTTTACCCTAATACACTCAGTGCTCCTAAGTATCTTAATATAATGCCCTTTCTCTCCCTTGCCAAAAATATAAAAGGTGTTAAGAAAACTAACTCAAGAACATCACCCTGAGTTCACTAGCTTTTAAAAAGAGCCCATGAATAACACTAAATAGAGGGTAAAAAGAAAAGCAAAAGTATAGGATTTTCACAGAGGTCCATAGAGAAGAGTTTCAGGGAGAATGAAGGGGGTCAAAGTGCAAATGTCTTACTGAGTCTAAGACAAATGCTGTTTTTAGCCTTGATGTGATCCCTGGAGATTTCACTTTTAGTACTACTAGGGACTTGCTATTCTGAACATCAGAGTTGCTATGGTACAATCAAGCCCCATCAGGAGGTACAATGGAACTGTGCATTTCTTTGTTGTTACTTTTACCCATCTACTTTTCCCTACTGTACTTGAGCTTCCCTGGAAATGATGGGCTGTTCCTTCAAAATTCTAAGCACCATGTGTGGTTCCTGCTCAGAAGAGAATGTAGAAATGCTGGGAATGATTTAGAAAACAAAGGAGACACTTTTGCAGGAATGGCTTTAGAGAAGTTGGTAGGTTAGGTTGAAACAACTTTGAACTAGAATTGAACTCATTGAACTAAAGTGTAGTCCCTGTAGATGAGATTAATATTCTAGCTAAATGGAGTTATAGTGACTTAAATAGCACCAAAGTGCTATAAAATTAAATATGTAATAAGGAAAATTTTTATATAGCCTGCCCTTTTAACAGATGGAGGCGACATGCTGTAAGTTAATATTGTTCTATGTTTAATTCTATTGCCTTTTACCATATATAATGATGCTTAGGCAGGTTTGCTGATATTTAGGAGAACTGCTAATAATTGACAACATATGCTTGCTCTTTCAGTGAACTCTAAGGAATAGGTTGTTACTGATCTGCCATCATATGGCACGTGTAGATAGACAAAGTCATTTGCAGCTGATGTTTTAATAAGTGCAAATTATTATGTTTCTATATTTCCTCATTAGTACCCAAAATTGAGCTTGTACCTCAAAGGAATTTGTTCTGCAAATTAAGGGAGAAAGGAGGGACAAAGAATGGAGGGAAGGAAGGAAGAAAGGAAGGAAGGAAGGACACAAAGAAGGGAAAGTAGTTCTGACAGCTGTAAAAAAAAATCTTATTTCACTTAATTGCCTTTTTCCAACTTCAACTTTTATAGGTCATTAAACTGATTTCTCTCTCCCCTATATCTTGGAATGGAAACTTTGAATTGTTATAACCAACATGTAATAGAGCTCCTGACATGTAAATTGCTAAATATTTATGTTTAAAAATATGGTTTGTACCAGTTGTTTAAGGATACAGGTGGACCTGTTGCAACAATGAGAAGTACAAGTTGTCATGTCCAAAACGAGCTTTACAATGTCAGTGCAGGGGGGGGGGAAGGGGGGGGAAGGAGAAGGATTGGGATTGGGGGGGAGGCTGGGAAGGGATGTGAAGGGTAAACAAAGGAGGAGGATGCAATGCTTGGTAAGAAATGTACGCATTATCCTGCCCATCTAATTGTAACCCCTCTGTACAGTATGTTCACAAAATAAAATTAAATTAAAAAAAATAAGATTTGTAAAACTTCTTAAAAACACAGAAAGCAAATGACATGGTTTGGAAAAGAAACTCATGTTGAAGATTGGTCATTTCTAGTAGCTTTATTTAGTATATTTTAATGTTACTTGTAGTTTTTTTCTATAATGTATATAACTTCACTTATCCTAAGAAAGATCAATCTACAGTAAGCTGCTTAAAAATTTTTTTTTTTTACTGTAAGGATACTGTAGAGAGGGGTTACAGTTACATGAGTAAGGTAATTGTTACCCCTCCTTTGTAAGCTGCTTTTTTAAAGCAAATAAATATGGCAAGAATGAGTTTTTATTTTGGAAGGATTGGTGTGTTGGCTTTTGAGGGAATGAATGTTTTCACTATAGAAAATAATTCATTTGGCTTTCTAGGAGGCTATGAGAAATACTTAATCTACTTAGAGTGGTGGACAAGTGTTTTACTTTTTTTGTGCTGGTACTGAGGCTTGGACTCAAGGCCTAGACACTATCCCTGGGTTTTTTTCCTCAAGACAAGTTTTCTACTGCTTGAGCCACAGCTCTATTTCCAGCTTTTTGGTGTTTGAGATAAGATACCCATGGACTTTCCTGCCAAGACTGACTTCAAACAGTGATTCTCACATCTCATCCTTCTGAGTAGTTAGGATTACAGGCACGGCACACTGGCATTTGGCATGGTGTTTGCATTTTAGTTTAGTAGATTAGCTTTCCTTCTATCTTATGAAGAACACTTTAATTTTTGGTTTTTGTCCCAGTACTGGGGCTTGGACTTATGGCCTGGTGGCTGTCTCTTAGCTTTTATGCTCAAGGTTACAAGAAACAATTTTTGGCCTTAGTTGGGGGTCACACATGCTGTCCCTGGCTGTTGTTGGAAGCAACAGTTAGTACACTGTTTTCCTTAAAAGCTCCCAATTGAAAGAGGAGTATATGAAGCTCAGGAATGTAAAGGGAATCATAACAGTCCAACTTTAGAAGTATCTAGAAAGCTCAAAAGCCAGGTTTAATTAGGTAGCAATGCAAACCATTATCCCTTTCATGCAAGATGGGTTAAAATGTGTGCATGAAAACAATGGGCACTTATCTGGCCAGCTGGCCAGACCAAGCCTGTGAAGCCTTGTGTTCTGCAGGCAGAGAGCAGTTTTTAAAACACCCCTAAATGTTCCAGCTTTAAATAGCAGCGAGTCTCCTAAAATGATGCTGTGTGCTGCAGGAGAAATGAAAGCGGCTGCCTTGGAGGCAGGAAGCCGACTAGCGAGATGCTTAATTATCGTGGAAGTAAGTGCTTGTTACTGTTGAGTACAGCATGCAGTGAGCGGGTCCTCCTCGGTGTCAGAGTGTGATTTGTAGACAATGCCGCCCTGTCAGCTCAGTGCTGGTTCAGCAGCATCTTTCCAAACATGTATCTGGCAAGAATTTAAAGGCCACCTCTTGTGTAATTTGCAGAGTCTTGGAAAAGGATCGTCTGCCTTTCTTTTCAGGATGTACGCAACCATGAAGGATTTTGTATTCAAAATCTGTTCCTGCTGTCTTCTGTCTGACGTGCTCAAGAGGAAGTTTGTCTTCCTGCCCTTCACCTGGAAGGATGCTAACAGTTCTCTGTAGTCTTTTGGGGGACATGAAGAGGACTGCCCAGAGTAGCATTTTGTTTCTGCCGTCATAAATTAATGCTGGTGGGATGGAGGAGATTACACTCACTGCTTAAGGAAATGCAGGCATTTTGTGAATTAGTGAAAGACTTCATCTTTGAAAGTAGATGAAACTAAGGAGAGCTTGGAAAGAGGTGGTGGTGAATACTGGATTCATTCTGTAATATTCCTCATCTGGGTAAGTTACAAAGTCTAGGAAAATGCAGAAGACTGCTAATGGATACAATGGCTTCGGGAAAACCCTGTTTATTTTCTCTCTGCTATGTTTGCTTTTTCTTGGTATGTTTAAGCTTCTGTGAGGAAACAAGTATTGATATTGAAATATGGAAGGAGTTAAAAAAGTGAATGTTGCAATATATTTAGTGAAATTATTTTGTAGTTTTATCAAGAAACTGCATTGCTCTATCAGATTGACTTGATTTTGTCTCAAACTTCAGATCAGCACAGTGGTTTTTGATGTTCTACATTATTAGAGGTCATAAGAGAAAAAAAATCTAGGCTTGGGGTGGGTGTCTGAGGCCCCAGGACAAGAGCATACCCCCTCCCAGTTTTATGAAAGAGTTCAGTTAGACTGAAATATTATAGCTCTTTCTCATTGTGAAGTGTGGATTTTATTAAATGCTTTCACTTCTTTCTTTTAAACCCTCTTACTAACAATATGGATAATGGAACTGTGAACTATAATCCAGTATTGAATTTTTGATTTTTCATGTATCTGATTTTGGCCATTGCATATTTATTTTTAGCTTTGTCAAATGCTAATTCAAATTTTCTTCTCTCTTTTAGAGAAAACATGGGATTATGGCAATCACAGAGTCTCAGTAATACAAGTTCCATTCATTTTTTTCTGAAAGAGAGCTGTCTGTTAAAGTGAAGCAAAAGGGACTTATTGTGGATTACAATATTTTGACGATTTGGATTTTCAGTCATATGAAAATAAAGCATCATTTTTAACCTTTTAGATGAAAAAGCTTAAGACCTCATACAACTGCTGTATATTTTGGAAGCCATTCTCCTAAACAGAAGTGCACATTGAAACACAGACATGATGTTCCTTTCTGCAGGGATTTAAGTCTGATTTCTTTTACATCATGACAAGCTTGAAACGATCACAGACAGAAAGGCCTGTTGCCACTGATAGGACCTCTGTTGTTGGCACGGATGGCCCTCCCAAGGTCCACACGGATGATTTCTACATGCGCCGCTTCCGGTCCCAAAATGGCAGCTTAGGATCATCAGTCATGGCTCCCGTAGGGCCCCCACGAAGTGAAGGTTCTCATCATATAACCTCCACTCCTGGAGTCCCAAAGATGGGGGTTCGAGCAAGGATTGCAGATTGGCCTCCAAGAAAGGAAAACATAAAAGAGTCTAACCGTTCAAGCCAGGAAATAGAAACCTCAAGTTGCCTTGAGAGCATGTCCTCCAAAAGCAGTCCTGTGAGTCAGGGAAGTTCTGTTAGCCTCAATTCTAATGACTCAGCCATGCTAAAGAGCATACAGAACACACTGAAAAACAAGACCAGACCATCGGAGAACATGGACTCCAGATTCCTCATGCCCGAAGCCTATCCCAGTTCCCCTAGGAAAGCCCTTCGCAGAATACGGCAGAGGAGCAACAGCGATATCACCATAAGTGAACTTGACGTGGATAGCTTTGATGAATGTATTTCCCCCACATACAAGACTGGGCCATCACTGCACAGAGAATATGGTAGCACATCTTCCATTGATAAGCAGGGAACGTCTGGAGAAAGCTTTTTTGATTTGTTAAAGGGCTACAAAGATGACAAATCTGATCGTGGGCCAACTCCAACCAAGCTCAGTGACTTTCTTATTGCTGGTGGGGGCAAGGGTTCTGGTTTCTCTTTGGATGTTATTGATGGGCCCATTTCACAGAGAGAGAATCTCAGGCTTTTTAAGGAAAGGGAAAAACCACTCAAGCGACGGTCCAAGTCTGAAACTGGAGACTCATCCATTTTTCGTAAATTACGCAATGCCAAAGGTGAAGAACTTGGGAAATCGTCGGACCTTGAAGACAACCGATCAGAAGACTCTGTCAGGCCTTGGACTTGTCCAAAGTGCTTTGCACATTATGATGTCCAGAGCATATTATTTGATTTGAATGAGGCGATTATGAACCGGCACAACGTTATTAAGAGGAGAAACACCACCACAGGAGCCTCGGCAGCTGCTGTGGCGTCCTTGGTCTCTGGACCTTTGTCCCATTCGGCCAGTTTCAGCTCACCAATGGGCAGCACAGAGGACCTGAATTCCAAGGGAAGCCTTGGCATGGACCAGGGAGATGATAAAAGCAATGAACTTGTAATGAGTTGTCCGTATTTTCGGAATGAGATAGGTGGAGAAGGTGAAAGGAAAATCAGCCTGTCAAAATCAAATTCTGGCTCGTTTAGTGGCTGTGAAAGTGCCTCCTTTGAGTCTACCCTCAGCTCCCATTGCACAAATGCGGGAGTGGCAGTACTTGAAGTCCCCAAGGAAAACTTGGTGTTGCATCTAGATAGAGTGAAAAGGTACATTGTGGAGCATGTGGATCTCGGCGCTTACTATTATAGGAAATTCTTCTACCAGAAGGGTGAGTAGAAATTGTCTACTGGAAATTTTTTTTTGCAATACATGATAAAAAGGTATTATTAAAAGTTTCAGTAATGTAATTTAAAATTTGTGTGAATTTCTTATCTTTATTACTGGTAAAATATTTCAAGTATTTCTCTGTTGTTCTCTTTGCTTCCCCACGCCCCCCCATTTCCCCTGTTAGCTATACAGAGGTCTGGAGGTATTATAAGTTAAATATAAGGATTTTTTTCTTAAGTTAGTTTGACTTAGATAAAGTTACAGTCTTTGTTGTGTTAATTTGATGTCACCTTTAGAGATTATTAAGTTCAAAATATTTTTATTTTGTGAAATGTTTTGTAGCTTATATTTTTTGGATTGCTAAAATAATTAAAATTCTTTTATGTTTTGACACTTTTGCAGTTAATACAGGATCATTTCTTTGTCACCTCAGTGTTCTAATTAGTAAGTGGGAACTATAATGTGTAATTTCTATTTATTTTATAGGAACTTTGGTGAAAATGAATTGCACTGTTTGACAAAAGTTACAGAACAATGTTTCACAGCCAAGAAAATTAAGTCTGAGTCATTTGTTGGAATAGAAAAGGCACTGAAAAAAGTAGAAAAAGTGATTTTCCTTTCAGTCTTTCTTGAAGGAATTGGTCTATCTAGTTTGATAGAGCTGCAATTATGTTTTCAGTGATATTTCTTAGTTTTAGGAAAGGCACTGATTTTTTTGGGTATGAACCTTACACTTGGGGGGAGAGCATAGGAAGAGGTAAGGGGGAGAAAATGAGGGGTAACAGTGTTTAAAAACTAATGTACTCAGTACATTACTTACACCTTTTCGATAAAGATTAAAAAAATAAAATATCTTTATACTGATAGAATATAAAGATATATGCAGGGAGGTAGACAGATAGGAAGAAGTATTAAAAGAGGTGAATAAAAACAATGTCAAAATAGTTTAATTGGATATAGGTTCTACACCCCAGTCAAATTTTAAAAAAATGAGTAAAAGAGGGACAAGGGTCTGGAGGAAATAAATTCACTGTGAAGAAACTCTATAGTCTGAATTTCATGGATGATTGAACTGATGATTATAGAGACTTAAGTTTTTAGCACAGGTTGAGGAGGAGGAGGAGGAGGAGGATGGATGGATCATTTCAGAGCCAAGCCTATAGTCTGATTATAGTGCCTTTATTTTCCCAACCCCATTATAACATTAACAGCAAAAGCCACAAAATATCTAGTCATTGTTCTTGATGACATAACTTAAGAACCAAAGCCTCAGACATATACATATATACTGAATATATATACATTGATATATGTAGATATCTATATTGAAATGTATATATCTCAGTTATTTCTCAAAGTATATTCCAAATGGAGATAAGTCATATGAGAGTTTTAATGGGAAGGCCATGTGACTCTATTTCCAGTTAATGACTAAAAGGCCAGAAGTGGAACTGCGGCCTAAGTGGTAGAGTGCTAGCCTTAGCACAAAAGCTGAGGGACAGTACCCAGGTCATGAATTCAGGTCCCATGACTGGCATATTGTCCAAAAAGAAATGTACTCCTTGCCTGACTTATGTAACTAGAACACCTCTGTATATCACCTTTATATTAACAATAAAAAATAAAAGTAGAAAAATTAAAAGTATGTTTAGACAAAAAAGGAAAGGCAAAAAGTAAAATTAACTCTTACGGCCTTTGTAGTAGTGTTTTTTAAGCATTAAGTGTTAAAATTGAGGTATGAGTTTAATCCCTCGTCTGGGTCCCCCTGCTATAAACAGGGTGATAGCCAAAGAAAGGTATAGATTGCATAGATCAGCAATGTTTACAGCTATGGAAAGAAGCCTGTGGTTAAGAGGCTTCTTTCTATAAACTCCTTGAGCAGTGTTTGGTTGTTTCAAATATAGCTTTATGACATTGTTTACTTTAGAACTTTAATATTTTAAGATTATTTTAGGAAGAATCTCATTGAAGGTGCATCAATAGAAAGAACTTGTCTCATTGTTAAATATTCACATCTCTTCTCATTCTTAAATAACTATGGCAAAGGTCTTGGACTCAATATAATGAAAATTCTAGTTTCATTTTTGAAGTATGTTTTTTCAGAAGTACTGCCTGGAGTTTAGGTTTTAGAAACATGTCTGTTTTACAAAGCCTTTAAGAGTACAGGATTTCTCAAACTCACCAACTTGGGATTTGGGGGCAAATGGCTCTTTGTTGAGGTGGAGGCTGTCTAGTATATTATAGGATGTTACTGGTAGATAGCCAGTAGCTTTCTTCTGTGCCCCCAGCAGCCTAAAATATATATGGCATTGTCAAATGTCCTGTAGGTGGTAAAATTTTCCCTAGATAAGAACAACTTCTTTATGATACTTGGGACATTTTAAAAAAGCATTTCTCAACTGTTCAGCTGTCTCTAAAAGGAACCATCTTGTCTTCACCTATAACTGACACAGTGAGTTGAGCCTAAGACAGCATGTATTATTATTTATTTTTACTTTTTGCTGGTTGTGGAGCTTGAACTCAGCACCTGGGCACTGTCCTTGAGCCTCTCTGTGCTCAAGGCTGGGCTCTACCACTTGAGCCATAGCACCACTTCTGGCTTTTTCTGTTTTATGTGATACTGAGGAATCGAACCCAGGGCTTCATGCATGCTAGGCAAGCACTCTACTGCTAAGCCATATTGCCAGCCTGGCATGTATTCTTTTTATCTTATTTGTATAGTAGTGAGTAATTTTCTTTCTACTAGTCAGTATTATACTATCAATAGTGAACATTTTTAGCACTCAGGTACTAGGCACTGTGCTAAGCCTTTGATATAACACACATTTTTTTTTTCCATCTCACCCTTTTGGTGCCCATGGGGTAGGCATTGGTGTGTATGTTATTTTGCAGATGAGAAAACTGGGGCTTTGGTGATAGACTGTCATGGAGTTAGTAAATGTGGGAGCCAGGATTCCACTTTACTCTCTCAGCATATGACATGTTCTTAGTTACTATCCCCTGATCTGTATTATGTAAAGTGAAAGAGAAGGGGAGTCCGATGCACATATGGGGAGTCTGATGCACATATTTTATTTTCAAATATATAAAATAAGTCCTGTTTATCATACCTCATAAAATTAAAAGCCACAATTGTAGTAGATACTAATATGGAACATGGACAACACCGTTCTACTGAAAATAAGTAGGACTGCTTGATTAAAAATACCAGTAAAGCCAAGTACTGGTGGCTCACACCTATAATCCTAGCTACTCAGGAGACTGAGACCTGAGGATCATAGTTGAAAGCCAGCTAGGGCAGAAAAGTCTATGAGGCTCTTATCTGCAATAAACCACAAGAAAGCTGGAAGTGGTGCTATGGCTCAAATGGTAGAGTGGTAGCCTTTAGCTGAAGAGCTCAGGGACCCAGGCCCTGAGTTCAAGCCCCACAACCGACCCCTTCCCCCTTTCCCCCAAGAAAACAGTAAAAGTTGTTGAAAAGTATACACACACACACACACACACACACACACACACACACACACACACACGTATTCATTTTCACTGAGAAATAAAAATATATTTGCCCAACTCCTAAGTCGAAGGACTTGTCTTTAACTGTTTTGAATTCAACATTGTATTAGTAGAATAAACCTCGAGGCAAGAGTATAGACCTTGCAAAGAAGTCTCAGCACAGAATTTGTTTTATCATTTTTTCTTATTTCTGTATCTGTCTTTCTTATATCTGATTCAGCAGCTTTCTTCTTAATGACGTGGCCTTTAGTTAAGTCTTCCCAAACCTTTCAACTCAGTATTTCATAGAAACCACATTTGTCTTTTGTACTCATGTTTTATCAGCCTTCATGATAATTAAGTTTCATAATTAAAATAACAAGTTGTTGGCATCAGCGGGTCTGGGAAGATGCAGCAGATTCTGCCAATATGAAGTCCTTCTGGTGCCAGCAGAAGGTGTGTGTGGCACCAGAGATGGTTGGCCAGTACCAGTGGGCACTGCCCAGCCTGGTATCAGGAAGGACAAGCATGGTTAATCCAGGAGGCTAGTCCCAGGAAAGCCAGTCTCAAAAGATTCCCACTTTTTTTTTTTTTTTTTTTTGTGAACCTACTGAACAGAGGGGTTACAATTAATTACATGGGCAAGATAATGCGTACATTTCTTACCAAGCATTGCAGCCTCCTCCTTTTG